CAAGGGGAGTGCTATGGGGACCAACTGCTCGGCTTGAGGACTGCAACTTCGCAGATGACCTGGCGCTTCTTGCGCACGATCAGCAGGGACATGCAAGAAAAGACCGACATTGTTGCCTGGACAGCCAGAAGCGTTGGGCTCAGAATTCACCCTGGCAAGTCCAAAGTGATGAAACTGAGGACAACTAACACTGATAAAACCACTGTCATGGGTGAAGAGTTAAGGAAAGTAAATGACTTCAGGTACCTCGGCAGTTGCATCTCGACAGACAGCAACATCGACAGAGATCTCCACTAGAATTGCCCTGGCAGCGCAAGCCTTCCAAAAGCTTAACATTTGGACGTCGTCACTGTTGCAGACCAGGACTAAACTGAAGAACTATAGGTCGAATGTGCGCTCAGTCCTGCTGTATGCCATAAAGGCTTGGAGGACTAACAAGAAGATTGAGAGCAGACTCAGAGGTTTTGAAGGACGGTGCCTTCGTCGTATCCTCAGAGTCTGCTGGGAACAGCATGTTACCAACAAGGCAGACTGGCATCAACAATGCACTGGCATCAACAATGTTGTGGACGAGATGAAGCAGAGACACTGGAGATGGCTGGGGCATGTCCTTTGGATGAGCAAAACAAGACTCCCTCATATGGCACTCAGATGGACTCCACCTGGAAAGCGTAAAAGAGGGAGGCCGTTGGGCACCTGGAGGAGGACATTGGAGGAGGACATGAAAAGGAAGGACATGACCTGGGAAGAAGTCAGCCAGCTTTCTCAGGACTGTGAAGGCTGGAGAAGATTCGTTGGCGCCTTATGCTCCATCAGGAGCCAAGAGGACTAAATAATAATAATAATTCTCAAGCCAAAATAGATTAAACTTTATCAGCTGTGTTAACAAACTCCTCAGCAGATGACATCAAGCTGTCATGATAAAGAACACACTGCATTGTGTGGTGCAATAACAGTGTTTTCAGAGAAATTAACAGAAGCTTTCCCAGAGCATTGCAGAGGCTGATAGCCCAGGCACTCTGCCCCTCCCCCCCCCCACTCCATCACTCCCTCTCTTGAGGTTTGAGGGGAAACAGGATTGTGCTTGAGGATGGAGGAAGGGGAAGAGAGGGAGGAGTATAGAAGAGAGCCCCTTGGGAGCTCTGCCTTCCCTTTCCTCCTACTGCCCTCCCAGACACATAGTCTGGTGGTAGGAGGATGTGTGTCTATGCACCTGACTCTCTGGCAGCCAGGCTGGAATGCTCTTGTCAATTTCCAATTTGCAAGGAAGCCAAAAAAACTTTGTTCTCCACAAATGGGATTTTTCTTGTAAACCTTTTCCATGAAAACATTATCTCTGAAGTTATCATGAGTCGGGATGAGGGTTGTGTTTTTCTTTTTTTTCCAGAAGTGATTTTTTTCATTTGAATGGATTTTATTTTCTAGCCAGCTCTAGGTACAAGATCTTATATCTGAAGATTGATGTGATGGAAGAGGTGTGGGTGTGGGTGTAAATATGTAAAATATGGAGCATCACTTTTGTAACTACTGGTGAAAAGAGTAAATTTTTTCAACTATAAGAATTGGCACACTGGGTCAGATCAGTGGTCTGTGTTGCCCAGTATTCTGTCTGACAGTGGCTGGTGTCAGATTCATTCCCTTTGAAGTATGCAACAGGTCAGTTGTGCGTGGTCCGTCCCTTGTCATCCAATCTCAGCTTTTCTGGCAGTCAGTGGCTTAGGATCACCTGAAACATGGGGTTGTCTCCTTGACCGCCTTGACTAAAACTTACTCTAGTTCAAATGGCTGTTTCGCTTTCCAAAGGGTAGTAGTTCATCATCATCTTCTTCAAAAGGATCTTTTGGTGCAGAGGGCAGATCTTCTCAGAGTTGTGTTGTGAAGGAAATGGTTGTCTATAGGAATCTTGGCTTATTTGAAGTTTGAAGACTTGTTGTGAATGAGGCAAGATGAAGGAATATTGATCTTATGGTGAGGGCAGTTAATGCCTCTGTAGAGATTCAGTCCATTTGTGCCTCAGGCATTCAGTGGCAATGTGATGCTAGGCAAATTACTTACACCAAACTGTTAAGAGTTGCTTCTGCATACAATTAAAGGCTATATCATAAAGCATGTGGAGGGGGTGAATTGAGGTTACATGGGTAACATTTATTCTGGCATTTCCTAATTTGAGAGTGCTTGACGTAAAAATAATTTAATACTACTTAATCCTTAATTTTGAACAATTAAAAATGGGAAATAGAATTTATTGATCACAGCAACCTTAACTAAAGCTAACTAAAGTTTGTTATGAATTTAGACAAAGTTCAGTGAAATTATGCCTTTCCAAACATTTTTAAGAAATTCCATTAAAATGTTATGTCAGTAACAAGTTAACTGAAGATCTACCTTTAATTTTTGACTATTGAAAAAGTTATACTGCTAATGTAGACCTTCAAATGAAATCTAAAACAGCACTCACTGATTTTTCATAAAAGCACTGATCCAGGGAGTTTAATACAATGTCTACTCAACATAAAATACTAAGGTAATTAATATCTCTATCCTGATCTTTTTAATCATACACCTTCTTTTCATCATGCTCATGATTCTGTGAGCTACAGTTTTGCTTGCATTTCAGAGTTCTGTGGAAATGATGGTTGTACTAACCAAACTTTTTTTCTTCGGGCATTAAACTCATCGATTTTTTTTCTTTGAATTAAAATTGGACCCAAAAAGTATATCATACAACTAACAAGTTTATTCCTAAATAGAATGAGACAAATTACCAACATAATAAAGTAATTTTGAAGTATAGAGCTGACAAGCAGTTGTTAAATCATGCTCCTTAGGAGGATTCCTAGTTGACTGAGAACTTGAACACTTAAATAACATTTTCTGTTTCACAAAGAAGCAGAAATGAATAGGGCTATAAGCTTGCATCCCCCTGGCTGGCTGGTCATATAGAGGGGACCAGGCTGAGCCATGCTCCTGAGATTGTTGTCCACATTGCAGAAGCTCCTTTTTATAAGAGCAGCTGTTGTCTTGATTTTGGTTTGTTCTCCAAGTAGTAGAAACCCAATATAAGTGGGAATATTCCAAAGTGAAAGATTCATTTATCTGTCCCCCCTTCCCCATTTTTAGGGGTTAGCAGTTTAACTGATAAGATGATTCTTCCGTGAACCTGCTTGTGATCCTAATATCAGTTGTTCTACCATAGGCTTCAGTGGAGTTATTTCTTATTTATGCTAGACAAAGTGAAATTAGCATTATGCTCAATGAATTTTATTTTATAACTGATGACACATCACTATTAAACAGCTGTAAATAAAAGGAAACTTGTAAAACCTATGAAAATATAGCCAAGCTCTGTGTGTTCAGACGGATAATGTATTTTCTGGGAAGCTGCCCCTGGATGGTGTAACTAAAGAGAACTTGTTGAAAATCAGACAAGGTGATAAAAGAATGAGTTGGAGAACAGCTGTCCATTCCTGCACTGGTATTTCTAGAGCTGATTTGTTGAAATGACATGGATGTCAATGGTGTTATCTAATGAGGCAGAATCAGTCCCAGACCCCTGTTCTTCCCACTATCCTTCAGTTTAGGGGCCACGGTACAAGTCCCACTTGCCTTTTCTTGGCATTCGGTCTTCTGTCCCTTGGCAAAACACAGGGGTGTTGGGGCTGATGACCCTGACTAGTCGGAGCTGAGTAAACAGTCCTCCTCAGCCACTGGCTGAAGTTTATGGCCACTAGCGTGGGAAGAGAGTCTCCACAGACTCCCTGCCAGAGCCCTTCACCTCTCCCTGCAGCCTTTAGCAGTGCTGATGTTGTTCTGCTCAGCACCTCTGATTCTCGTTGTTAGTTCCTCTCCACCTCCAAACTCCTTCTCCACTCTCCCTCCACTGGGAAGCTTTTTAAAGAGGTCTCCTGGCAGCCTAAAGTCAGCTCATGTGGCCCTTAATTGATTTATAGCTGCGCTGCCTAAGCTGCTCCTAATTAACAAGAGTCATTGCTGTTCTTTTTTGTTTGTTTTTCAGAGCTGCCTTTCTCTCCTCTATCAAGCCCTTTAACCTGCCCTGTCACACTAAAACTTTGGTCAGTGTTCTTTTGGGACTTTGGTGTATGAGTGCTTCCATTCCTTTCCTGTCCTCTTATTCTCTTCAGATCCCTCTTCCTTTAATTTGGCAAACCTTCCACTCTGGTACATAGCTATGGAAGCAGCCACAGTGACACCGCACACATGGCATGGATATTTCCATTGTTTTGAGGGTGGGTTGATTAAGTTGGGCTGCTCTGACTATGCTGTTTCTTGGATTTGAACTAGTTGACAGAACTAGCATGAATATGTGTATGTGAGCTGAGAATCTCACCCCTGAGCTAGTAATGTAGACATAGGCTAAGAGTTTGCTAATAATACTAATGTGTTAGTGAAAGCTCAGCTGTTAATTCAGAACAGTGATTACCAGCATACAATATGAGTGACCTAAAGTGATTGATTAGTACTGTAACATATATTACCTATTCTGCACGGGCCCTCTAACCGGTTGCAGCAATGGGGGCAACTGCTTTGGGACCTGGAGATTGAAAAAGGGCCTGGGGCTCCCAGCTGCTGCCACTCCGGTCCCTTTAAATCCCTGCCAGAGCCCCACACAGTGCACTCTGAGCAGCACAGAAAGGTTGGCAGGAGGGAGGATAGCCCCAACCCCACCCCTTTCAGGACTCTGAAGCTGCCCTCACCCACCTGGTCCAGGGGCCCAGCAGTCCTCTCAGTCTCCCTTGTTCTGCACTAGTCTAGATTGGAGGGGGTGGGGTGGAGTTCAGAACTTACTTCTGGAATGGGTCTACCTGGCTCCACTCCATTAGAGTGGATATTAACTCTCTTGTGAGGAACTCCGTTTCAGTCAAAAGGACTCTGTGTGGTCTTACGGTTCTGCAGGGTTGCAGCATTAGTTCTAGGATGTATTTTTTGTTTGTTCTGTATTCTGTGATATGTTAGTTACTCTGGGGTGTTTTGCTTTTCAGAGAACAAATACAGTTGGAACTAGTAATGCAGATTTTCCCTTGGCTGATCCCGGAATGTACCAGTTGGACGTTACATTACAAAGGGGTCAAAATTTAGCAGCACGGGATCGTGGAGGTAAGAATATATTGATAAATGTGGTTTTATGTGTGTTACTTTTGGTAGTTGAATGAAATGAAATAGAAATAGTTGCAGTGGCTTATTGCCCTCAATCTGTAAGGGCTTGTCTGTATGAGCACATGCAGGAAAAGTTAAGCAAAATGAACTAAAGGAGTGAATTTACAGTGCGTTTAGTTAAACCATATTAACCTTCTGCATGGATGCTTTCATTCAGAAGCTAGGACTAAAGTGAACTGTGGATGCATTACATTTGAATGAGAGCATCTACACAGGATTTTAATGTGGATTAATGCACATAAGTTGCCATGGTTAATCTTCCGGGGTTTGATTTAGTGGGTCTAGCGAAGGCCCTCTAATTTGAACTCAGAAGGTGCCCCATTGGTGCCAGTACTCCTGCTCCTCATGAGGAGTAGGGGAAGCTGACTAGATGGTGATTTATGATACATCAACTTTAGCTACATAATTAACATAGCTGGAGTTGTATATCTTAAGTCAACAGTTCCCCCCTAGTGTAGACCAGGCCTTAAATTCACCTTCAGTTAACTAGGCATAACTTTCCCAAGTGTTCCCATGTAGGCAAGCCCTAAGTATTAAACTGCAATCTTTAGTTAAGAACACCTGTGCCAAAATGTTTTTTCCTGCAGTAAATAATACAAACACATTAAACAACTCTATTTGATCAGTTTTGTCATATTCTTGCAAATACAGTGTGTTTCCAACTGTTGGTTATGAATTAGTGCTTCACAAGTTACATCTGGGTCATGCACTGGGAAACGTTTCTACAGGGCAAAGTGACCTATACATTGTTTTTTGTGTCCTTGTTTTTTTTTCTTCTTCTAGTGGTGCAGAACCTGCATTTGCAGCTTGCATTGAAAATCAGACTACTTGAACATAGTACATTCAGATTTTTCTGAGGATCAATTTTGATATGACAATCTGACTAAAAATACTTTGAATCTGTTGCAAAATAGACCCTCTCAGACACAGAGCAGCTGTTTGGAAACTCTAATAGTAACAATAATATGGTCCAGAATCTTTCCAAGAAAGATTCATTGGTCACCTCTTATGATCAGTGTAAAGTTGCCTAGCTAGATTCAGATCTCAGCTACAATGGTGTAACTGGAGGAACTCCATTTAAGTCAGTGATGTTACTTCAGGTGCACACCATGTAGTAGATCTGAAAATGCTCTCTGTTTCAAGAAAAAAAACTTGTTACTCTATTTTTCCTTTTGGCATATAGGTGCATTAACAAAATGTGCTTGATGTTCATAAAACAGGATATTATGGTGTCCCATGAGGTTAAAAGATGCCCATAGCATTGACTCAGTCTCTGAATCATAAATGTATTAAAATAAAAACATAACTTAGTTATTTAAATGTGAAATTACAATAGGTACAAATGTCTTGTTTTTGTGTGAGCAAGAGTCTTATAACTAAGCATCATAATCGCATTTTGTTTTTTCTGTAATTTAGCAGTTCAATTTTTGGTAGGCTTTTAGAGAGATGAGTACATTTATCAAACAACCATGCTAGGGAACATCTGAGCTCCCTGTATGTTGTAGAGATGCTCTGTATTTGCCTGGGCAGAAGGCAGGGCAGAACACGGTGATGGGGCTGTCCACAAAGAGTTATACAGGTGTCCTTATACACTGGGCTAAAAGAAGAGAGGTTTCACTGTGCTATTCTAATCCACTGGCTGTCACAATGAAAAGGAGTGCTTCACTGTAGCTTTTTACTCTAAACTCAGCTTGAAGGAGTGAATTTTTCCTACTCCTTTTGTAGGCTATCCATTGAGATCAAAGTTTTAGCTCAATTAAAAGTTAAGGCATTCCAGCTGCACTTACATTAAAATAATTTCAGGAGTTCTTAATCCTTACTCTTCAAAGTATATGCTAGCTGGATCAGGGGAAAATATCCCTATTGTGTAATGTTACTCTACTTCACCAGCTGAGTATGGGAATTTTCACTTTACTCTGAAATATTACCGGGAGGTAGGTTTGAAATAGATCATTAGTATGGCAATTCCAATATCTTCCTACTGTAGAAATCATAGTACTAAATTAAAGGAAGCATTATATACAACATAAAATAATTTGGCGTCTGGTTACCTTTTAAGAATGCCTATTGGATATTTGTATGCGTGCCAAGGAAAACACAGGTTATAAAAAGCACTTTCATTTAATGTAAGCATTACTTTAAAAACATTAACTGTCAAATTAGCATGCTTTTTGATGCAAGTAAAAGAAAATTTCATTTAAATTCTAGAAATTGATTAGGGAGATATTACAATTGAAATGCCAGCCAATAAATGGTATTACAACCCTGTGTAGGTGTAAAATCAAATCGGTTAAGAATTGTATTACCTTTCATAATTTTAATTAAAATTTTTGTAAGAGGACTGTTAGATCCTAGCTGAGTTAAAGTTATACTTCTTGAATAAATATTAGTTAAGAATTCTCAAGAAATGTGGTCAGTGGCTATAGAAGCATAGTGATATGGTTTAATTACAAAACAGTTTAATAAGCAAGCATAAATTCTACCTAGAGAGAAAGATGCTGAAACAACTAGTACATATAAACAAAATACTTGCTTAGTATTCTTTTCATCTTAGAGTTGAACAGCTTTTGTAGCTTTGCAGGGCGGCATGTATATTATAGTGAAGGACAACATATAGGGATTTTTTTCTCAGAAACCCTTAAAGCAGTAATCCTCTCCTGTTGTACTGTACATCATCATAATGGTGCTTTGGATTTTTCATGTGCTTGAGAGAGAACTTACCTTGGCAATGTGAACTAGGGCTAAAACAATGTAAATCAGTTTTTGTAGGGAGCAGTATGAAGTCGTAATCTTACAGTTCACTGATTGGATAAATAGATTCCACACTGCTGCGGTCACACAGGTGTTAATAGATAGATCAGTTATTTCTCCAGATGTGACTAAATGGCCAATTAGCAAGAGCTGAGATAAGGAGGCACAGGGGGGCGGTGGCCACCTCATCCTGAGAAGTGACTCAAAGCCCTTCAGTCAGTGACTGGAAGGAAATTACTTGAGGAAATGGAAGGCCAGGAAGAGAGGTGTGTTTTTTTTTTTTTTTTTTTTTTTTTTTTAAGAGGGCAGCTTTATGAAAGACACCTACAAACAAGAAGCAACCCAGAGAAAGCAGGAAAGAATTTAAAGAACCAGACCGTAGCTGCTTAACTCGGGGTCCTTGAGCTTGAACCTATCACTGGGGGTAAGCCTTAGTTCCCCTGAACTGCCAGTAACAGAGGGTAGATAGTAAGCAACCTGGCTGGAGAGCTGAGCTACAAGAAGCTGTATGGCTCAAATATCTGCTGATGGGGAGGAGACACACAAAGGCATTGCTAGACCATGGCCAGCCACAAGGAGACACACTAACTGGTGACTGAACTTTTGTACTTGCACATGCATTTTATTAGCATTTTTCTTTCATTTCAGCTTTTTGTTTCCCCAAAGATAAACTCAAAGATTTGAGACCCTAGAAAATATATGGACTCTGGCATAGATAAATGATACAGTAATTGGTGCAGATGCTCAGGAAAGTTTAAGGAGAATAATGTGATATTCCTCTCCACCTCCCCCCCTTAATCTGAGATTCTTGCCAAAAGTGCAGTAAAATTTTCTTTCCTTGTCCCATTGGTGATTCTGCTTTCATATTAAGGATGCTAAAAGGATCCTAAATTTACTGTGAGGACTGAAGGATTTTCCAAATATCTTTCTGTTTTTGCCTTGGTGGGATTAGAACACCCTTTCCTTGGAACAGTGGTTACACTGACGTACCACAGGCATTTCCAGTCAGAGATCCATAGGGCTGCTTCTTGGGTGCTCTAAACATACTTGTGCTGAAAATTGCAGAGAAGAACTGGTATCCATATCCTGCTCAGTTTGGTAGTGAAGTACTTCAATTCTTGGTTAATGGGGATGCCAAATCCCACTTCACCTACTGTTGTAGTGCTACCAAAGTATCCTATGAAGGGGAAAATGCAGAGAATACTGGAAGAAGAAATGAAGGTTGCTTGCTTGTAAATGGAGTTATTTGTGAATATGCAGCTTCCACCTTAATCTCTACCCATCTTCTCCTCTACCTCATAAAATCTGACTGCAGCAACAGTGTATGAGGCTGAGGCAGAGCTTCTTGTTATGAAGAAGTGCTATTTCCAAAGCATTGTCAGGCAGCATTGAGAGAGGTTGCTGAATGCTGTGATCCTCAGTGTTTAATGCAACGGGGTGATGCAAATATATCTCAAGTTATTAAATGACTTTAGAGACAGATCAGTAAGAACTGAGGAGGGAGGCGAGAGCTGAAATTGAGCAAACGCTCTTGCTTGAATGTGAACCTTCTCCTGAAAACTTGGTGGGATCAGCCACTTAGCAGGGCCTAATGAGATTCTAGATAGTGCTACAGGCCAATGATCAGTGATAGTAATAAATTCCAAGATGTCAAAGGCTGCCTACAGTTTTACATGCCTGTATTAGAGCACGCGGCCCAATAGAAATTTTTTGCGGCCCGCCAGAACACTTTTATAAAAGAATGAAATGCAGCCCACTAGCCGCTGGGAGCATGTGACCAAGTGTCTGCTCAAAGTTGGCCGGGCTGCTCAACACCACAGCAACTGCTCACGGGCTGGCTGGACTGCTCTGTGCATGCGCACACAGACCACTAGGCGCTTCAGCTGGCTGCTGTGCTCATACTGCCCCAGTGCCTCGGGCAGCAATGTCAACTCCGGGACCCAAGTATAAGGTTGGGGGGGCCTGGCTCTGGGGAAGGAGGGAGGCATAAGGTTGGGGGTGGGCTGGCTCTGGGGAACGGAGGGGGATTGGGTTAGAATGGGAGTACGGGAGTGCTTGGATATGGGGGAGAGGAGAAGGTTAAACATTTTGGTTTATTTATTCCCAAATAAAATCACAAGTATATTAATTTTATATCAATAAATGTTAATTTTTTGCAATTGCATGAATTACATCTTCATGCAAAATCT